GTATGTGGCTGGTCTTCCTTGCCTCTTCCTGGCTCATTTTCATCTTGCTGTCCACTGGAAGCCTAGGTTCTTTTCTGCCGAGCTGTTAGTCCCCACACTGAACTGATACATGGGGTAGTTTCATCCCAAAATGACTATGCCATATAGATAAAATAGTATAGAAAAATATTTTGAAAGATATACTTCCTCCAAACCATGTCCTAGGAAAAATCTTAGCGTACCATATTTACATGTTTCTGCCAAGCTGGGTTAATGGAAAGCAGTTCCATTTTAGCAATGAAAAACCTTGACTTTGCCTCTCTTTTCTACTTAGACAAACCTACAGATCTCTTTAATAATTTCAGTACAAGTGGCCAGCAATTAATGTAACAATGGTAATAAAAATAAATTGGGCGCAAATAATCTTGGTCTTATCTACTGTTCAACAGTGACTTCATCTGAGTAAATAAGAAATAATGGAACATCTGAACTGGTGAAAACTCCCACACAGTTCTACAGATGAGTTTAAAGTTTTTATATCCGTTTTCCTTTGCCTTTATGTGTGAGTTTCTGTACTGAAAGTACCCACAGGAGAGCAGCAATTCATTTTGTTAATTAAATCCTTGCCATTTCGGGTTACAAACCAGCCCAATGAATAATCAGCTCTTTCCAACTGCTTCAGTGAAAGGAGCGAGAGCCATCTAGGAGGGTGTTACAACACTGCCTTCCTAGGTGCAATTACATTCTGTTGCTTGATATACAGAAAAAACTGCAATCCCTCTTTACTTGGGAGGACGGGAGCTGCCTGTCATTCATGCAGGGAGGGCAGAGACAGCGGGGAAGAGGAAAGACCTCTGTGTCATGCTGTATATAAAGAACTGGGTCCTGCAGAAGAGAAGAGAGGATGACTATGAAGTGCTGAAAGAAAACATCGACTCTATGGACACTCACAGCCAGAGGGACCCCAGAGCAGGCAAGAAAGAGAATCTCAGCCCAGACTGAACTGTGCATATCATCAAGAGAAAGAAGTCTCTGTTTCTTTATCTTCCAACCCGGAGACGGTATGTTGTCACTGAAGTGATCAGGTCCAAATGAAAGGAAGGGAAACACGAGTTTCTTCCCCTCTCTTTAGCTTTGTTGTGTTTAGTAGAATCCTCTCAGTACTTGGAGCAAGGGACGCCAGCCAGTCCCCAGCGATAAGAATCCGCATTCTTGAGATCATGTTGCTCCTGTTTTCTGTGAAGTTATCAAAACAGCTTTATAGCCAGACTGTTTAGAATAGCTGTTGGAAAGGTACTGCAGCTGCAAAAAGTGGATGTAGGAGTCAGCCATGCCTTTACAACCACTGGGAACAGTGCCTAGCAGTCGTCCTCGTTGAGTTACCTGCTTTTGCAGGATCACTGCTCCCTCTGTGTTCTCTAAAGAGCTCCCTCTCGATCTTCACTGACTATCCATTTTTCTCTCTTGGAGCCTGAGGTAAGATTTCTTCCTAACTTAGTCATTTTACTGACTTCTGCTCTGAAGCACAGAGCTTTAATTCCTAATTTTGTACCTGAGGTAATATAATAGTGGATGTTTTCATTATTCACCTGAGTCCCCAGATGTTTTAAATCCTGCTGAGATACTGGGTCACGAGTCACATTGGAGCAGCAAGTTCCAGTGTTTGCAGTACCAAAAATAAAGGAAAAGGTGTATATTTATCAGATTCACCTCCTCAACTTTATTCTTTTTTTTTTCTGGAGTTTTCTGTGATGTCTTCTTTACAGGAAAATCCCTGTCTCCACTAATAATTTTTCCCATCAACTTCCCATTCCTTCTATTTGCTCTTCTATTTGGCATTGGAATATTTATTTTCCATCTTCTTTCATCCTTAAAATATTGCTATATTTTTTATTTGAGCAGAAGTCTTCAAGGAATCTCTGGTTTTATTCCTGGCTTACAGTAAAGTGTAGAAGGAATTTGATTTGTTCTTTGTAGTAAGTACTGCATTACATGATGAACACATGAGCAAGGAGCACTGTTCACCTCAGACCAGTATATGTAATTTATTATCATGTAGCTCCCTACATCCTTATCTCTTCTAAAACTTTATAAACAGCTTTGCGTCATTCCATATTCCTAGGAATTTTCATTCTTCCTGTGACAAGCAAGATCTCATTCTCCCTAAGTTCAATGCATTAGCTTTGCATTTTCTTTAAAAAATTGTTCCATAGCGTACATTGCCATAGACATATTTAGTTCCGAGTTTGGAAGTTTCTTTACTTTAACTCTGATGCCATATGGCTGAGCCGGGCAAAAAGATGTAAACAGCCAAAATGTCAGAGCTAATTTTAGAATCTTCATGTTTAATCACTGACCCCTTACATCTGAAACCCTGTTTGCATATTAACTTTGAGGCAGATCCAGCGTGGGGAAGGGAGAAGCCAGTCAGCAAACACCTCAAATTTCCATTAATTGCAGTTAGATTGTAGAGCATAAACTCCAGCTCACTGTCTGGTTGTCCTTGGACATTTCTGGCACAGACATAAAGCACTGCAGTATTGGTGTGAGTAGAGAATGGATGGGTCTGTTTGGGAGCGGAAGCACCAGAAGGAGCAGCAGCAGTATGTCTGTGAGACCTTGATGTTGATGGTCATCAAGATCTCAGCACACCCATCTGCAGCTGCTTAGGACACTCAGATCAGGAGGTAGAGTCCAATGATGACTCTCAAAAGCAGGACAGGATGGAGGGACTAATCAGTGTCACCTCCTAAAGGGTACCTAATGCATGTTCAAAACCTGCACATGGCCACCAATCTAAGAGCATCTAAGAAGTGATGAAGACCCAACAGGCAACATTCTTTGTCATCAATGTCATGGTATATTATCCTGGGCAGATCACTTGGACACAAGAACCTTGGTGGTTGTGAGACTATGGGTCTGAGAGTATGTTGGACGTGATTGAGTGAAATCAGTTTTGTTTGTAAATGAAATCGCCTTGGTCCCCACACAATGAGCTTTACTACACTGGTTCCGCAGTACTGCAATATTGTTTCTCATACCGAACAGATAGTCAGGCATCAGGTGAAATTCAACTGTCTCCCTTTTGTTTCTCTCCCTGTAGATGCGATGTGAAGGCTGCGCAGAGAGGCACAATAAGAGCACTGATGCATCCATGGAGTTCCTCCTGCTCGGCTTCTCCGAGCTGCTCTGTCTGCGAGTCCTCCTCTTCCTTATCTTTCTGATTGTCCATTTGGTCACGTTGGCAGGGAACGTGATGATCTTCATGGCAGTGATTATGGAGCCTTCCCGCCCTCCCATGCTTTTCTTCCTCTGTCAGCTCTCTGTTATTGAGCTCTGCTATACCTTAGTCATTGTCCCTAAGGCACTCCTCAGCCTGATAATGGCGGATGGCAGCACCATTTCTTTCCTAGGCTGTGCTGCACAGATGCACTTTTTTGTGGCGCTTGGTGGGGCTGAATGCTTCCTCCTGGTAGCCATGTCGTACGACCGTTACGTTGCCATCTGTCAGCCACTTCACTACGTGGCTGTGATGAGTGAGGGGCTCTGCCTCAGGCTGGCTGTGGCATGCTGTCTGGGGGGCTTTGCTGTTGGCCTGTGGTTGACAGTGGCCGTTTTCCGCTTACCTTTCTGTCAGTCGCGTCATATCAACCACTTCTTCTGTGATGTCCCTGCTGTACTGCACCTGGCCTGTACACAGACTTACAGCCCTGAGCTGCCCTTGCTGATTGCCTGTGTGCTCCTCCTGCTGCTTCCCTTCTTCTTAATCCTGACCTCATATGTCTGCATTGCCACCGCTTTGTTGCATGTCACTTCCTCCAGAGGAAGGGGCAAAGCCCTTTCCACCTGCATTTCACACTTGGCCATCACCTTGCTACACTATGGATGTGCCACCTTCATGTACATTCGTCCCAAGTCCAGTTACTCACCAGCTCGAGACAAGATGGTGTCTCTGGTCTACACCAACATTACTCCATTACTGTATCCCCTCATTTATAGCCTGAGGAACACAGAAATCAGAGGGGCCCTCAGGAAAATGTTGAGAAGGAAGAAAATAGCTCAGATGAACTGGGATACTATCAGAGCTGGTATGTGTGTGGGGGGTAAATTTTAGTAGAACAAACATGTGCTTGTTGAAAAACAGCCCCATAATCATGTTAGGACCAGATTCTCCATAGATTTCACTACGGCAAATATCCAGGCAAAATTCAACATGCATCAATACATTTATGACAAAAAGACATCTCTGCTAAAAAAAAAAACAACAACCAAAACCAAAAGCAAAAAAAACCCGTCTCAAACCTAACACCTTACCTAAAAAGAAATGCTTTAATGATCTGTGAGAAAGAAGAGCTTTGATCAATTTGTGGTCTCACTTCTGTGATCACATACATACTCATGTTTTCATTCATTGTCATCTCAGAGCAATCAGAAGATGAACAGAAAACTATTTAAAGCTGCTGTATTGCTTTAATTGTTTTTCCATCAAGGTGAAAGAAAAAACTGGCAATGGGGAAGTCAAAAGAAAAAAAAAATAGACTGGTAAATTTATCAGCACAAGAAACATAAAGAGGTTTTTGGAAAGTTAAAACTAAAAAGCCCATGTCTAGAAAGAAATGGAAATTAAGTTGTGGTCTTCTCTAAACTTAGCAGAAGGCTGCACTTCAGCTTCCCATCACAAGCAGAAAGATCATTAGTGTAAACTCATCTTACTTTGAATTATTCTAGATAATGAATATTAAAGTGCCATGGACTTGTCAAGAATATGACTTTCCTACGCCTGTTTTGCAGCAAGTAATCTTTCCTTTTACAGGAAGATGCTTTATGTTTTGATTGTTCCTATGGCAACATAAAGGTTAAGATACTAGTCTTATCATGTGACTTTTATTAGGAAAGACTGTATCATATAAATAAGGATGCCTGAGGAGTGTTGAAATTGTAAGATTAATACCACCACTGCTACTGCTATTGCAATTTCTTTAGTAAAATCAGTGAGAATCACAGCACATGCTGGACTGCAGCAGACATAAAATTCTGAAAGGGGCAAAGCAGTGTTTGTCTGTGTGTTTACTACATGTAGGCGGAACAGGATGATTCAGACAAAATAGGGAAGATGAATTTTGGACAGAAATAGGGGAAAAGAAGCAACTTCATTATTTTATTTAATACTTCCCTCCCCCATGATCTTACAGTACCAGACAGGCCCAGAACCCACCTCCTACATATCAAATTGTTGACAAAAAATTAAAAGGCTTGCTTCTGTTTCTCTATCTAATCTAAAGGAATTTCAGCACTTCACTTGCCCTCAGCTCTCTTCCTTGGCAGATGGAGATAGCAGAGTGGTATTTGCTTTCTCTGGGTTACAATCACTAACAATCATGGTAACGGGATTCGACTAAATGTAAAAAATTGGCACTGTGACTAAGGAAGTTAACTTGGAGCCACCTGACAAAAGAGAAACGTGGAATTTAAAACTCACATGAAAAGCTGTCTTCAGGTTGACAGTCTAACCAGCCTACAACACTCACAGAGAATACTGGCTCTCATGTCAGTGAATACCTAATTACTGCTGTGAGCAAAGGTTTAGCTGCTTTATTTAAAATGATCAAAGTTGCAGTCATTTTAATCACCTGCCAGGTCTTCCAAAAATGAGAAATGTAGGGTCTCGATAAAGTGTATTAGTTACTCATAGAAAAGTACTTTAGAAGTACATTAGTTTGAATCAAATACCATTAAAGGATTTAAAGAAAGTAAATAACTGTAATGAGCTTAGGGCAAAACTGAAGCATCAATTTCAAATTCTGTCAAGTCAAATCAAGCTGTGAAGCTAATCCTGCCGGACTGCCAGTGGGCTGGACTAGAGACCTCCAGAGGTCGCTTCTGAGATTATCAGGATTATACAGCGGAGTTTTCTAACCTGTTTTCTCGGAAGCATTGATATGCTCAAAGACCTGACAATAAAACTAAGGGACAGAAATACCCTGAGGTTTATAATACTGATCCAAACCTTGGTGGAGACGTTGACATGTTTCTAGCAGGTATGGGAATGGGATAGTAGAGATATAACTACCATCTGCTGCTAGCTATGAGAAGATAGCAGGGCTGTGTCCCAAACTAGAGATGTTCCTTGTGAACAACTGCAGATCAGAGGCACCTCGGCAGACCTCTCTTCACTGCAAGGATACGGATGAGGCCTTTGGGAGGGATGACATTACTGAAACAACAGCCAGGCTAGACTCCCAGTCCTTTAGTTCTGAGGTACGTGTGGGAAGCACAGGTGGTGGAAGCTCTCTATGAAGACTCTGTTTCTGATCGATGTCTTTGCAGATGCCTGGAGTGAGGAGACATCCCAAAGTCCAAGACTATCCACCATCCTATCCCCACCAGTATTTCCACATCCACTCATAGCACACTCGCACGCTTGCCATGCCGCGCTGTGTTATGTGCATGGCTTTGCTATATAGATCTATAGAGACACCTCAGGGATGAGAGTGGAAAGAGGGAAACTTATGAGATAAGAAGTCATGACACATCAGAAACATTTTATTGTTAAATTTTATTTTTCACTTGCCAGGAGCTTCCTGAGATCCCTTTTTCACCTAGCCCCACCCACCTTTACAAGTGGTTACTTCAGTCCTGTTGACCCAATACGCTTTATGCTGAGAGCTGGAGGGTGCTCAGGTGAATTAAGACCACAATATCCTCGATGCAGGGCATGAGTGCTTTAAAATAAAAGAGAATTTCTAAGTCCTTTTCAAAACTTTACAGGAAACAGCAGGATCCAGTCAAGCAGTGTAGAGTTAGACAAATGCATATTCTACCTCTAACCAAAGATGGACAGGGCAAAGATCTCGCCGTGGGCATCATAACTGGATTTGGCATCATACACCCAGTGTATGAGTACAGTTGGGCATCTCTATTCCACAAATGGTCCTGTCCTTTCCTGCATGAAGAATGCCTACATCCCCAAATTTGCAGAGGCCTGAGATCTGGCAAATACAGGTGTTATGAAGTTTTCCAACCAGCTAGGACATCTCTAAGAATCCCTTCATGATTTACATAGACAGAAAACCAGAGTCTTCATCCTTGGAATTAATTTTGCAAAGGCTGCCCTGAGCAAGGCACTGGATGAGAACACAGAGCTCATCAGTTGAGCACCAGAGCTCAACCGGGAAGCCTGTAAGATCACATCAGTGCCGTCCATGTGCTCAAAAATGCAGACAGTTTGAAGAACAATGGCAGAGACGTTGAATAACGTTCAGATTACTCAAGGTCCAGTCCTCTGAATAGTACATGCCATTCAAAGAGGTACCTTCACTCAAGGAGATACTTCAAGGTGGTATCTTGAGTGCTACCTACCAGTACCACTGACACTGGTAGGGTACCAGTGAAATAATATTTTCAGTGTAGAGAAACTAGTGAAATCTCCCTTTTTCATTTGTACACTGTCATGTTTTGCTGGCAATCCAGGTAAGATATTTCCTAAAAATTGTTCCTATATATAATCAATTTCCTAAAAGAATTACATGCACTTGCATTAAAAATATTTCCTTACTCTTCTAGGAGTTTAAATACAAAAAGTGTACTAAGGGAATGTTCTTCTGTAATGGGTTAGGGAAGTTGAAATCCTGATGGAAGTCCAATTTTACGAGCATGGAAGAAGTTCCAGCACATTTACCTCCCTCTGACAAAGTAGTGTTATCACAGCCTATCCATTTTGGCTTACATAGAAAGTGAGTCCACCTGACTCTCTTCTTTTAGATTCTTTAAAAATCTTAGCAAACCTGCAGATAATCCTATATCTACCCAAATAGCTTCTTTTGCCTTTTGATCTGAAGCAGAAGGAAAGCATCAAGTGAAATTAATACAGCTTTTTACAACAATGGAGTTGTAGCCATTAAAAATTGATGAAAGGATAGGATTAAACCTAGAAAGTGGCCTTTAATATCATGAGGGTGAGAAGTTATAAAAGATGGTGATTTGCTTTATGGAGAAAAGGCTGCTCTTTTCCTGATGTTCATCGTTCAACATGCCAAGGGCAGTAGAGATATTGACTTCACTACGATAAAAATTAGAATGCTACAGGAGTCTCTCTTGCAGATATTTCTAGAGAGAAGATTTACAGAATCAAGAGGGATGGCCTCTTTCCTGACACTATGTTGTGCCATTATATGAAATTACTTATGCAGCATACAAAATCTGATAGGCTCTAAAATGATACAAAAAATAAAGTCCATAGCCCTAAATACAGGCTAATGGGGAACAAATACGCTTTAATAATCTGCCTTTCCCCTCAGAATAAAAAGTTTCTAGACTCTAAAAGATTTTTATTTTTTTCCAACTGTGTTGTTGACCATGCTTTAAATCCCCTTTAACAGACCGCCTCAGGAAGTAACCAGGAACATAGGACAAGAAATCATCAGAAGACCAAAATGGAGTTGAGGAATGAGGTAAAGCTCCATGCCAGCTGGTTGGTTTCAGAGCCAGTTTCACTTCGCCCTGCAATCATCTCCCTATCAAAAGGGTGACTGAAGCTGCTGTTAGTAAAAGCAGCATTGTATCCCTAACCTAAAGCTCTTGGTTCTGAAGATCATGACGTGCCCAGTTGTCTTCTAGACAAGTCCAGTCAGAAGTGAGCATGGGAAGGTCAGTACCCACTCAGCATGTGCCCTTGGCTTTACCTGCCTAAGTGCAAAGATATGAGACAGTCTGGTTTTACAAATTGGTATGTAAAGATATAAGACTGACTGGTTCTACAAATCAGTATGTAAAGCTGAGGAAAGACCAGAGGGCTCAGCAGCATATGGCCTCTAGCCTAGTCACTGCTTAAAATCAGGTCTTCTAAAATTTGTGTCATGTTTCATTATGGTTTTGGTGTACAGTTGCTCTTAGCATTCATTTTAGTTTTCTTGTTTTGATTTAATTAAGAGCTCAAGTTCCAAAAATCAAGCGAGAAGCTGAACTGAGAATAGATCCGACAGTGAGTTGGGAAGATATTACTACAATCAATGTCCTCTTTCCATCTGCAAGACAGTGAGGTGTCTGTTTCAAACATGCTCTCCTGATGTCAACATTGAAACCACTCAGG